CACAGCCGTGCTATGGACAGCCCCGTGACAACCATTCCATGCTAGCCACTGCCCAAGTGCCGACTTTTACGAATATCGTTAAATGGAGTATGTTATTTTATTCAGAATGTATTTCCCCATCTGTCAGTAATCAATATGTTGACCTGAGTGACGTAGTTTTTTAGTCGAGCTGGGTACTGGACGGTGGGTTACGAGTTTACCCTGGGTTCTGTGGGGTGAAAGATAAGCCTGGTGAGAACCAAAGGACAAAAATATACCGATACACGGTCATCAAACCGATATCCAAGCAAGTTAGTCGGCGTTTGAGGTGTTGAGGCCTGCCTGGCTAATTGGGAGACACCGTCTGAGCCGGTGATATCCGTAAAGACAGAATAAAAATTAACATCTAGAGTGGAGTGGTAAAGTCCTATAGTTATATTATTTGATTACTAATTTTATTACTCTGGCGAAAGGTGTGTATGTTTTTATATGAATAAATATTATTTCATATATAAAGCTATTTATTTTAAATGACAAATCAAATTTATTTACCTAATCCTAATCAAATACCAAATATTGAGAAAAAAAAATATGGCTATTTAAAAACCGGGAAAATTTGGTAATTGTAACTTTTGGCTTTTCCGTCTCAAAAGGTTGCTGACCATAGACCTAGCTACTAGGGATCGGCGCAGTTTAATCGGTAAAGCTATGGTTGCTAAACCGAAAAGTCCCGAGTTCTAACCCCAGGGCAGATGAAGCTAGTTGGGACATAGGAGAGACAACTCCAAAATCATACAACTGCTGCCTTGTAGTTTGTTCTTGGTTACAAAGGCTATGGAAGCAAATCCAAAACAGATAATAATCATTAAAAAAGTTTAAAAAAACCCACGTTTTCTGATTGAACTAAAAAGTAGAAAATAAATACTATACATCACAATAATGCAAGCGATCACTCTACTATAAGCGATCAAAAACGTGGGGCGCCGAAGTAAAAGTTATATTACTATTGATTAGATAATACTATTGACTTTTATTAGGGAGCTTGTAGAGAATCAACAGTATTAGAAACTTTAAGAAAATCACGGCGCCCCACGTTTTTCATCGCTTATAGTAGAGTGATCGCTTGCATTATTGTGATGTATAGTATTTATTTTCTACTTTTTAGTTCAATCAGAAAACGTGGGTTTTTAAAAACTTTTTTAATGATTATTATTTTCTACTTTTTAGTCTTTGTCTGTTTGTTTGCATTGAAATCTTGCTATCGATTTTATCTTTTCACTTTTTTTTGGGTAAACGAAGACAACTCGTAAAAAGACAACTCGTAAAAAACGAGAGACCCTTTCTTCTTCGGTCTCAATCGCAAGTGAATGATTGTCAGAGGTTAGTTGATAGCGGTTAGGACGAGGGCTGGTTACTGACTAGAACACATAGATTTGAACCCGTGTCGAGTGGGATAGCAATCGTGTGCCCAACCACTCGACCATATCGTCTCCCCCAAACTGGCCACCAGCGGTAATAGTTACCTCCTGTAAGTTTAAAGTCGGTTAAAACTAAATTATCTGCCCCTAAGCCTGTCGCGAAGTGGGATCGTTCGCTTCACTGCGCGCGGCAAGAGAGAGGCTAGCTATGCGTCGCTGGTTTTTTTTCTAATGGCTCGCAGAGGAGAATTATATATATAGATTATATAGCGGTCTAAAATGCTCAATAACATGTTTCCATTGATCAATTTAGTAATAATAACAATTTAATATTCTATGGTCATCCAAAAGAAAGCTTCCCTGAAAATTTCAGCGCGCTAGCTAACTGGGAAGTTCCAGAAATTTCGATCGCAAGATTTGATTGGAAAGACAAACAGAGAAAGCAAGTTAAAGAAAACGTGGGAAAAAGCAGGCTGAAATCGGAGTCAATGGCCTCAATGGCGCATAACCAGTTGACACGTTATCCTTAATTGTGCTGTAGGGATTCTCTTCCAACACTAAAATTAAGAACAAAGGAGAAGAAAAAAAAATTATTAATGTAAAACTTCAATTTTAAGAAAGTGCTACTTTTCGTCAGGCCGTTGGAAATTATTTTAAAAAAAAATGTCTTGTCCATGGCTCACCATAACTAACTTTTAACTAGCCAGTAATTAAAATCAATCTTGACACCAATTAACATATTTTATGTGAGGCAAAAACATTTTGTTTTAAATTTAAATACTTTTTTACTTTCTCGCATACAGAGTATAGAGGAAGTAATGTAATCGTGCTTGATAAATCAACAGATATTTGAGAGTTTTAACAATTTTACACCTCTTTATTTACTGTATCCTGAATTTAAAAAAGGGTGTATTTTAATTGTGCATAAGGTCTGAATCATGATTTCGACCAATTTTAACGGTTCTTAACTTTCCGGATCCGGAAAATCTTTTGCTTCAGTAAAGTTGACGAAATTTTATGTATTTTATCAAATTTGTAGTTATATATCAACTTTCGGCTTCTTCTTCTTCGTTCTTAATTCTAGTTATGGATGGAATTCCCTCCAACACAAAGAAGTGTGACGTATCAATTTGTACTGAGCTATACTGGCTATTAATATACACAGCCGCATATGTCCGATTTAAAAATTTCGGTCACTGGCGGGTCAATGGGAGTTGACATTGGCCGCCTTAGTTTAAACACATCGCATTGTTAACAGAAAAGTTTACAAATAGTAAGGTCTTATTAGCTTCGGCTTCACATTACAAAATGCAATGGAAAAAAGGGAAACAATTTTAACTGGGTTTCTAAAAGTTATTAACAAAAGAAAAATTCAGTAGTATTGAAATTTAAAATACAAACTATAAACAAAATTGATTGTAAAAATTAAATTTTGGTAAATACATTACTAACCTTTAACATTTATTCAAAATCTTAATTATTATTTTACTTTATTCTAAATAGAAAACCATTAGTTGTGATAGATACATAATTATATTGCATGTGAACCTTCAGACTGTACAGTATTGTTTGTGTTTCTTTGGCCGTCGGCAAATATTTTCTAGATCATACGCGACTCCTCCATTCGGAACAGGTCCACAACGTACCAAATGACCCCAATGACCCCTACTCCTTTTGCATTCATTTTATTATCACCAAATTAACATTTACAGTTGTTTTGTTAACTTTACTAAATCTTTTATGTGAACACCAATTTTTTACCTATAAAACTCCACGCCTACCCACCCCTAACCTGTCGGTACTAAACATTCAACTAAACATAAACACCGACTTGAACATACCAACCTTTCACCCTCCCACTAAATCGCTCACACAGCAATCTGTTCGTCAAACCCTCCCCCCACACACACACTATAAATAATAACACCTCAGCAGTTAGATAACACAACACATAATTTGACGCTTGGCTTGCCTTAAAACACGCAGTCACCCTCTCCACGCCTCGTCAGACACATCTACCCCCTCCCCCCTCTCCCCCTCTATCCACTTACCCTCAGACATGAAAACCCCACTTTCCCTTTAACTGTTCCAACGACCCCACCGCCCACCCCAACATCAATTTCGACTATCTATTCATTTACTTATTTAAAGTTCTAAATCTTGTTTCTTTCCCCTTATTTTTCACACAGCAACCTTTTGAAAACTCAATGCGACCAGTACATAAATAAATACTCTTTCGACTCGTCAACTTAATTTGTTTCCCTACATAGAAAATGCTTCACTGTCCCATTGACATTTCGTTTTCATTTGAAACTTTGTAAAAAATGTGATTTTGATGTACTTGTTTTAATTGCAAATAAAAGTATTTAAAAAAAAAACATTTTACAAACATGTCAAAAAAAATGAAAAAATGTTCTCGTCATTGGATCATCATACCTTTAAACTAGCCCAGGGGTCGGCAACCTGCGGCTCGTGAGGCTCTTTATTGTCCAGATGCAGCTCTCCAAGTCATTGCCCAAATAGCGATAGCTATATTATTTCATTTTCTAAACTCACAAAAAAGTATACTGTAGAGAAACGCAACTTTAAACAGAATAAAACACTCATCAAAGAACAGTGAGGAAGAAGGTAAATGGACAGCTGACAGCCGCTTGGGCACCAGGCCCAGCCCCACAGCTGTGCTGTGGACAACCCACTGGCGACTGTTCCATGCTTGCTACTACTAAAGTTCCGACTTTTTCAAATATCGTTAAATGGGGAATGTTATTTTATTCAGAATGCCTTTATCTGCCAGTAATCATTAATTTGATGTGAGTGACGTAGTTTTGTTAATTATTAGCTTCCTACTGTTGAGCCGGGTACTGCACGGTTGGGTACGAGTTTACCCGCGTTCACTGGGTAAGGCTGATTAGAAGAGAAGGACAGAAGCGACCGATACACGGTCATCAAACCGATACCCAAGCCAGTTAGTCGGACTTTGCCGTGTTGAAGACAGATTCTGTATAGGTCATGTCGATAAGTAAAGAAAAAGAAAAGTTAACAGCTAAATTGGATTGGGATAGTCCTATTGTTATATTATTTGATTACTAAGTTTATTATTCTGGCAAAACGTGTATATTTTTATATGAATTAATATTATTTCTTGTTTAAATATATTTATTTTAAATAAAAAATCAAATTTATTTACCTGTTAAATGTATATTTTCTATATAAATTCCATTTTCGTTACATCTAATCTTTCCTAATACGATTGTAGAATTATTTTTAAAAACTTTAACGTACGTCAAAATATGAAAATTTGTTTCTTAAAATATTGATTTTTAATTAAATAAATGTGTTTTAAAATAATTGTTCCTTATTATTCAAAATTATTATTACAATTTTAATTCTAATTAGTTCTTTTTAAATCCGGACTCCGCTTTTCAAGGTTTTAAGAAATTAAAAAGCTGTCAACATTTGAATATTGTTATATTTCATTAAAAAATTGGCTACTCTTTAGACGAAAAAGAACTAGACCTGAATGAAAATATCTAGGCCTGTTGCTAATGGGGAAGTCGCATTTGATCTAGAAAATTTCAAATAGGTAAACGGGAATAAAACATTCATCCCCGGCGGGATTCGAACCCGCGACCTCTGGATTAGAAGTCCAGCGCGCTATCCCCAGAGCGCTATCCCCTGCGCTACGGGGACCTACAATATGTCTTTTTTGTGTCATTGATATCTAACAGTTTGACTACTAAGTAACTGAAATCTTCAGTCTGATGAACATTAACTAGTTTACTAAAAGATGATTATTTCTGCAAACAACCTATCATAACAAACAGTACACAACTTGAGAAAACCACATAACACAACTAGACAGAATCACGATAATGTAACATAACCTTACCAAACAAACCTGACATAATGTAACCTAACCTAACCAAACAAACCTGACATAATGTAACCCGAATCAAATACGACACCATTATTAGCTTTTATAAGGGAACCATTGTGCACCTCCCACACGTTCCCTCACACAAATATACAATTACATTATACAATATACAATTACATACGCTCTTAAATAATGGATTAACACAACCAGACAAACAATTATTGTGTTCGGTATAAATTGGAACCGCCCAGGAGATTTGATAAACAAATAATTTCATCGTAATGCGATTTCTACCTGCAACCTTGCTACACACTGGAAATGTATTTATATATAAATATAGCTGATTCTGTTTTCAGTCTGAGTTGTATTACATGTAATTGAAAACGTTACGAGTTTAGCATACGACCATGACCATGTGTATACAATATCAAGAAATCTAGTACGTGTGCTGTTGCTAGGGTACAAGAATTGTGTTAGAAAGTAAGGAGGTTGGTTTTTTGACGTGTACTGTTGCTAGGGCACGAGGATTGTGTTAGAAAGTAAGGAGGTTGATTCTAGTACGTGTACTGTTGCTAGGGCACGAGATTTTGTGTTAGAAAGTAAGGAGGTTGGTTCTAGTACGTGTACTGTTACTAGGGCACGAGAACTGTGTTAGAAAGTAGGGAGGTTGGTTCTAGTATGTGTACTGTTGCTAGGGCACGAGGATTGTGTTAGAAAGTAAGGAGGTTGGTTCTAGTACGTGTACTGTTGCTAGGGCACGAGAATTGTGTTAGAAAGTAAGGAGGTTGGTCAGATACAGAGAAAATTGTATCAGAACATTCTTCACAGAATCCTACCTGTCCCTTCAATAGTCTATCTGTAGCACTATTCAACAAACGTATGACACACCATCTAACACACCATCTGTCACACCATCCGACACACCGTCTAACACACCATCTGATACACCGTCTGTCACACCATCTAACACACCATCTAACACACCATCTGACACACCGTGTTAGATCACACCATCTAACACACCATCCATCAAACTTCCTATTAAACCTACTGTCAGACCAGTGGAATCAGGCAACAAAAATCAATCCCGACCCCTCCCCCCCCCATCTCGCCCAACCCCCACGTCTCATCAACCATTGTTTCCCCTTCCCCCGATGACGTCCCCCGGTGACCATCGGTCAACACGACGGGTCATTTGGTGAGGCCGGTTCAATTCAAGCCGGTCGCCGGCAGCGAGCCGGACAAAGAGATACAAGATTAAAGAGCAATTATCCTGAGAGCCGGTGGATCGGGCAAGTCGAGGTCCACTGTAGACACAATGTATCCTGCGATTGTTATTAGCTTTAGCCGTTCGTCGTGTTTGGCCAAAACGGAAATAGAAAGTAAACTACGCTTTCCAATTTGGCAATGCTGTTAATGGCGCATAAAAAGTTAACTTTAGAGATTCCAAACATGAACTGAATGGATGGGATTTTTGTTCCCATGTTGGGATTTGAACTCAGTTTAATGTTTAGTATAGTGGGTTTTTTTCTGAGCCAGTCATCAAATATCAAAACTCATATATTAACTATTCTTATTTCCATTAGAGTTGAGTATATCAAAAACGACCAGACGATGGCAATGCCACATAAACATCGATATTGTAATCTAAACTTACTTTAAAAGAAATTTCACTACTTATTTCATAATTACTATATTGTTAATTAACTATTCATGGGGTCAATTAGCTATCTTTATTATTTGTTCAAGTTTTGTTCTACTTTATTAATAATTGGACTAAAAAATTATTCTTGTACAACTTCATTGATTTCCAAATGGTTTTAAAATCCTTAAAATTATAACAATCTTTGACCTATCAACGACAGCCCTTTAGTGTAAAAAGGTAACCATTGTTAAAATATAAATTTAACGTAAAATGTCAATAACCCTGGCATTTACACTCAGTGAAATAAAAAAGGAGACAATTCAACACTTTCGACTATGTGTTGGTATCTATTAAAATGAAAGGTTACTCTGAAAGGTTAGATGGAAATAACTTACACTTAATTGCTTTAACCAAATAGGAAATCTGAGCATGCTTTACACAATGCAAGCCGAGAATTGCAAGTTTTAGATAACTATAGACCATTGCCCTTTAGTTTAACTTGTCGAACACATTAAAAAAAAAAATATAACTAAGTTGGTTGAAAGCTTAATTTATAATCCTCATACACAAAATCAAGATTATACAGATTATTATAAAGTGAGATTATAGTAAAAACGTTAAAAATAAACTATACACTTGAACAAACTAAGCTACCAGCTTTCTGGTGTTTCTTCCAGACTTTTTTTTTTCTCCGGGAGATTGGGGGGGGGGGGGGTGGGGGTGAAAAATTATTTTTTAGGGGGGGAGGGCGGATTATGGGGAAAAGGCAGCATCATCTATATAAATTATATTTCGTTCTTCTGTGCGGGGAAGCCGGAAGAGATGCCTGTAAAAAATTATGCAGCTAAACTCCTAGCTTGTAAAATATAACTATCGGTGCTAAATATCTAGCTCAATGAATTGAGTTGGAGGCATACTTGTGAATTCTTGTTCGTCAATAGCATTATTCACATCGAGATTCTACCAACATGTCTGATTCCGGGTATCAATGTAAACCTGCGCTTAGCGTCTCGTATTTTATCTCTAGTCAGAGAAAGAGTTACACCTGGGTCCAGGTGTGTTATACAGTGTCTAAACGTAATCTTTTCCTGTAGGTTACGGCACACTCAGAAAGTTTCTCACTGGAGTATTAGCCATTACACTGATAGAATGGATTTAACTACACACACACTTACATACACACACACACAAACACACACACACACACACATACATAAACACATTTTAAAAACCATCCGAGAAGAGAAAAAGGCTTGAAATTAGGAAGATTTCTGTCTCAATAATAAAACTGTACAGAATTAAAAGTTCGCGTGCCAAAACGAATTAAGCTGAGCTAGAATTTTTGCTACCTCTACAAATCATTCCAACACTCAGGAAGAAACCCCGAAAGTTCGAATAAATTTATAATGTAGAGACAGTGATAGGAAAGTAAATTGGGATCATCTGTCATTGTCGGTAAAAATAATTCAACTATAAAATATTGAAACTCAGCTGTCAGCGTATAGGTCAAACAGCAATCACATGACAGCAATCACATGACAGCAATCACATGACAGCAATCACATGACAGCAATCACATGACAGCAATCACATGACAGCAATCACATGACAGCAATCACGTGACAGAAATCACATGACAGCAATCACATGACAGCAATCACATGACAGCAATCACATGAAAGTACTAAACACATACGCTGCGTTTTATTAAAACTATATCCATGCGGTATTTTCAATACTCGCAATTTCATTTTCTTTGCGCCACTTTTTATATGCGATTTTATTTTCGTACTGAAAAACTATATCCATGCGGTATTTTCAATACTCGCAATTTCATTTTCTTTGCGCCACTTTTTATATGCGATTTTATTTTCGTACTGAACATTCTCTCATAGTCAGAGCTGGTTGACGCCGTTTTACTTATTTTACATAACCCTGAACACGCCATCATACAAGTTGGATAACCAGATTGGTCACTAAACACGACGCTCACCCCCAGTGGTGTAGGAAGGGGGGGTTAGGGGGGTCATAACCCCCCCCCCCATAGACCCCTCGGTATATATATAAAAAGTATGAGGGGGGTTGCAAATCGAAAGTTTGAGGAGGGGTGCAAATCGAAAGTTTGAGGGGGAGTGTAAATCGAAAGTTTGAGGGGGGGTGCAAATCGAAAGTTTGAGGAGGGGGGTGCAAATCGAAAGTTTGAGGGGGGGGTGCAAATCGAAAGTTTGTCCCCGGGTAAAAATTGGAACCCCGCCCCCTTGAGACGATCCTGGCTACGCCACTGCTCACCCCCCTAAAGACCCTCACCTTATTCCCTTCACCCTCCCCGCCACCAACCCAATTGAACTAAATCCTACACTAAATCTCCAAGTTATATTTCTCCACCGATTTGCACTACGGATTTCTTCGTAAGTAATTCCTATCAGCTGCAAATCTCTTCCCTTAAAGCCATCAAAAACCCACTTATCTTCTTCCTCGTTTACATTGGCCGGGAAAAACCCACCAGCTAAAACCAAACAGTAAAAAAATAAATCATCATCAAGAATAAAACACACGCAAACAAAAGCTAACGGCTGAAATCGACAGCCAAATGGTATTGTCGGCTTAAGATTGATCTACGGACATCTCAAGTTCAGATGTGGGTATTGCTTTATCCCATCACATCGAAACTGTGTACATCGTCATCAAAATATGCGGGTTTTTTTTAGAAGGCCCATAAATTCCAGGGTCAGTCTGACCCAAATGTGTACGTTTATATTTAGAACAACCATAGTCTCAGTCCAGATTTAGATACGGCACAATTTATTTTCCTATTGAACCAAATACCGATAACAAAACAACAGAATCTGCCCTCGGGCTACGGTTAACACGTGAATCAAAACAACGAATCATTGTTGCCAGAAGTATTAATTTCGGGGCGGGAGGTGGGGGTAGTCTGGTATTGCTAGCCGGTACATTCCAATGGATTTACAACATTCGGACTGCAGTTATTATAAAATTAATTAGCGTTTAATTACTTTGATTATTTTTTTAAAAAAACGATAACTCTAGCTATTAAATTAGATACCTCACTAGGGAATAACATGACCGCCCTAGACCCAGACACTACAGACATAAAATGTAAGTTAAACAAGCCTTGTTTGCACCAAACGTCCAAGTCAGAAAAAA